AAAAATGGAGGTAATAATGCTTACTTTTCCCTGATAATTAAGGAGCCAGTGGCTATTTGTGTGCAATTGGTGGTGGAGCGATGTTTAAAAAGCAACATGTTTACATGTGATATTCTTAGCTAAATACCAGGCAGGAGAAGATTATTCCCCAAGAATATAAATACTTAAAGAAATACACTCTCTTTTGTGAACACACAGGTTTCTTTATAGGCCAAGTAATAATAGGAATGCTTTTGATGGAAAACTGCGGGGACTGAGACCTCTGGAATACATCAATTCAGTGCAGAGCAGGGCCGGTTGAGAGCTACAGTGATGAATGTTCCGTGCCTCAGGATGGGAGGAATCTAAATTTCCCCTGAAACTTGTCCTCTGGACTGAGATCCCCATCTTGCTCTTGCTGCTGCTTAGGAATGGAGAGAAACCCTGGTTTCCTTGTCCTGCCTTTAAGATCCTGTGCTTAGGCTCAGCAAGGACAGGGTCAGATGGACGGGGGTGTGGGATTCAGTGGGAAGGAGGTGAGGTGCGGTTCGACTACTGGATCTACTCAGCAGATGGCACAGGGACCACAGGGCTCATTGCAAGGAAACCATCTGAGGGCCAGCCACGTGGAGCTGTGGATGGGGCCATCGCGAGTGGCGGCAGTTGAGACAGGGACCGAGGTGCTCAGTTCCCAGGTCTCTATGACAGAGCAAAGCTCTTCCCTCTGTATGCACTTGGCGCATCTCCTGTGCACTAGACACTGGGTGGCTTGAAAAGCACTGGCTATCATGCCGTTAGGTACATTGCTTGATGTGAGCAAAGCTTGCATTTCTCCTGAAAGGTAGAATCCACTCCTGAAGTAGGGATGGTGCTGGAATTACATGCCTAAGGCAGAGCAAATTTCATGTATTTCAGGGTAATAAGATAGCCCTTTCCTGGCCTGTGCATTGTTCTCTAAACAATGATCACAGCTGACTGCTAAGCTGGTAAAGGAGCTGGGAAGCAGATGCACTACAGCTTCTTTTGTACATTCGTTTTGTTTGGAGTCACTGTGGTGCATTTTCTTTCATTGAAGAAAAATGAGTCATTTATTTTCCATGCTGCTTTGGTTCATGTACTAAGTTCCCCAGAGGCTGTTCCCGTTTTAGCTTGGCTAACTCTTGAAAGAGAGAATGGAGTGAAAGTAAAATATTTCTGGTTCTTACCTTGTTTTATACTTTAATGTTTTGGTTTGGCGTTTTTGATATACCTTTGTTCTCACTTGAGGTGTCATGTCTGTATTGCTGGCAAAACTACCCACAGATAAAAGAATATAACCTGCCTTGTTGAGCTACATAAATTCTCTGTTGCCCTGTGGATCTATTCATGAGAATCTTTAATATGGAAAGTAGATGTTTCGATGGTGACTGAGATGGCATGAGTTATGTAAGATGGTGGAAGTCCGGTGAAACCCAGAATTGAAGACTCCTATTCATTGCTGCAGGATTGCCTACTCTTTCTTAGAAACCTTACCTAATCTTCAAGGTCCAATCCAATGCCACTAAACTCAGGAAGCCTCTATCACCTTCATAAGCAGACCATTTCCCCCTTTGTGATTTCCTGGCTCACCTTTTCTTGCATCACTCATTTGACACTCATTTTCCATTCTACCATGTGGGTTACTGTGTTGTGTATTTACATAAAAATATATTATAGCCACCTTAAGAGCAAGGACCTTTTTACTTTTTATATGTGTCTTTGTGTTTTCTATCCTGCCCAGCACAAATAGGAATCCAAAAAGTATCACTTTGTGATATTTCTCCCTGTCTTGTTGATTAATCAAAAATTGACTCAACACCTATTCTGTGCTCAGGGATGTGATATGAACAAGGCAGACAGGATCTCTGCCTGTGATCAGATATAATTACCCCAAGTTTTTCTTCTTCCCCCTCTGTGGTTCTACTTTGGGAAGTAGAATGGGAGAACATAAGAAGAGGCTGTAAAGAAAAAGAAAACGGGGCAGTTGGAAGAAACACCATGCATTTGTTGGAAAGTACATACATTGCCCCTTCTCATTTTCACAGTAAAGTTTTAGAAGCTAAAGACATTGGCTCTGGACTAAGTCCCCTGCCTGTGTTCAATTCCCACTCTTCTTCCTTTCTGGGAGATCTTGGAGTTATTTAATCTCATTTAGGCTCAATTTGTACTATAAACAGAGTCTACCACATCAAATTAGATGCTGCTGAGTGCCTAGGTCACAACATGCGCTTAATTAGTGTCTGTGGTTATTAATTTTATTATTGTTATTGCTGCTGTCTTTACATGCATACCTGTAAAAGGGCCATGTCCAGGACTGCGTGGAATCGAGCAGAGACAGCTCAGGCTGGGAACTGACTCAAAGCCTTCCTTTCCCAGATGCGAGAGCTGGCTTCAGGTTCCCCGAACAATTTTGAAGGGTGTGTGTGCTGGAACCTTCCGTATCTGACCTTAATCTGAAGGCTGCGGGCTTCCCAGTGCTCGCCTTCTGCTGGATGCCTTCTTCTTGCCCTCAAGAAGCCTTGCTGGGTGGGAGAATATGGGCCTCCTTTTGTAAATTTACTCAGATCTGAAAGGAAGAGCATTTTGTGGGTTAAGCTTTCCTGGCTAGAAGTTTGTTTCCTCAAATACTAACACAATGGATTTTCTTCCCTCCCTACCCTTTTTTGTTAATAGGGTGCTGAGAAAATTTTGTCAATGAATGAATCGGGAGAACTGCAAGACCTCTTAACCAAAATTGAGGTAATTGTGCTTTTAGCAACTTATTTTTAGTAATCAACATGTTAAACACGTTCTGATTGTAACTGAGTTTTCCTCATTGAATTCCCCCTGTGCTCTTACAAATACATAAAAGGATATGCGTGGCAATTTTAAATTTGATATCACCCGCCATTAGTTTGTTCCAGCGAGAGTGATTTTAGTGTTAGCTTTTAAGAACCTCATACTGTTAGGTGAGGATTCCAGTCAGCTTTATTAGAGCCTAATTCTCTGTAATAGAGGTGTTGATGAGAAATTTCTAGTCAGGCAATTGTCTTGAAGCACATGTAAAATTTTTCATTTGAATTATTTTATTTTTCCCATGGACCATCTCATCATTTCTAAAAATTACAGAAAAAGTGATCTCTCCAAAAGTTCACATTTTAATTTTGTTCCAATGCTTATGATTATAGTATCTGAGAAATACTTATTTAGCTATATAATGTATCAAATCAGTATGCAACCAGGAAGCCCTTAGCACCTCTCTGCTAAACTATTTTATTAGCCTGTTTCTATCTATCTATCTGTAAAATATGAGTAGGAAGCTCATTTATTTTATTGTGCAAACTAGGACGCACTTTGAGAGTGGAGAGGGTGTGTCGTAGTGGTTCAGGGGCAGCAGATGTGAACCAGGCTTTCCCAGGTGAATGAGGCAATGTGGTCCCCAGTGCCTGGACGCCATGAATCTAGCTCTTCTTGGTTCCATCTTCTTTGCTAACCTCTTTTCTGATTCTCTACGGTTCCTTCCACTTAGGTTGAAAGAAAGAATTATTTGTTTACTACCATTCCTCTGTGCAAGCTGCTCTGTCTGCCTAGCATGCTATGTTCCAATCCTTCATTTCCTTCAATCCCTCATTTCCTTCAATCCTTCATTTCCTTCTATCGTCTTCCAGGTCCATCTGCAGCATCACTTCTTCCCGAAACCATTCTTTATCCTCTCACACCGTTGAGTTCCTGGAACCCTCTTTTTATTGGGTGCTTATCAAAGTCTTTTGATTTTGCTATTAGTGTTCTTTGGGTATTTGACTCATGTCCCAAATGAACTATATGCTCCTTGGTTTTAGGAATCATGTGTTATTCCTGTTGTGATCTTGACCCGAAGGACAAGCACAGTGAGGGTGCATACTTGATAGTCTGAAACTCCTCTCAGCTTGAAAATCAATATGGATGCATTTCTTTCTTTCCTTTTGTCCCTATGCTCTACTCTAACCCTGTGAAACCATTAATTTGGGTGAATGTGTATCTTTTTATTAAATGATTTAACTTGGTTAATGTGTGTTATTCTTTTCTGTGTATATCTTTATTTAACTTATGTAAATGCCATTATATATTATATCTAATTTTGTTTCAAATTATTTTGTTAGGCAGTATGTTTTTAAGAACCACTTATATTGCTATATGAATGCTTAATCCATTTCTTTTAACTGCTACATGATGGAAATATTTTATATCCATAATATCTAAAATAGTAGCCACTGGCTACATATGGCTGTTGAGCACTTCAAGTGTGGCTAGTGTGACTGAGAAAGTGAATTTTTAATTTGTTTAATTTTACCTAATTTAAATTTAAATTTAAATTTAAATTCAAATAGCCACATGTGACAGTGGCTCCTGTTTTAGACAGTGAAGCTCTGTGGTGCCCACCCACTATTTTTTGTCTTCCTACTTTTCCACTGATGGAAACCTACACATCCTTCAACTCCCTCCCCACAAACTGTGCTGGAAGGAATGTGCTTAAACGTGTCCCTTTATGGATTTCTCTAGGATTGGGAATTGCTAGTGCACATACTTAATTTTCATACGTCTCTCTGGGATGGATGCACCATTCAACACTCTCTCTTGTAGAGAAAGAAGTTTTGTATGTTCCCACACTCCTAACAATATCAAACTGTTCTCTAATTTACTGTTTTCTAATTTATGCCAGGATAGGGATATATATTACCTTATTGTTTTTATTTCTGATTTTTTTCTGATTACCACCAAGTTTGGGCATCTTTTTATATTCTTGTTAGATTTTACATTTCTTCTATAAATCGTATGTTCTTATACCCTGCCTGTTTGAAATCTTGGGATTGCCTTTTTTCTTTTTTTGGTTGATATCAGAAGATCTTTCTATATTCTAAATATTAATTATTTGTTGGTTTTAATTGCTGTCAATATTTCCTTACCTTTTTTCAGCTTCTTTCATAGTATTCTCCAGATATTCAAGAAGAAACCCTCTGATATAATCTAATCCATCATTTTTCCTTATGTTTCATGCTTTTGAATTTTTATTTATGAAGTACCCTTTCCACCTTAAGGTCACAAAGATATCTTACATTCTCCACTATTAACTATAATTTTACACATTTAGTTTTTTAATTCATATAGAATCCAATTCCATTTTCTATATGGTAACATAGCTTACCAACATCATCTACTAAATAATCTACTATTTCTTTATTGCAATGTTATGCCAATTTTATATTATAGTATATATCCACATATACATGGGTCATTGATCTCTCTAGTGAGTTTCATTAACCTATTTGTTTCTTGTTGTACCAATATCATACTGTTTTTATTTCTGTGGTGTAATAGTACCTTCTGGAATCATAGGGTGAATTTCTCTTATTACTCTTTAAAGACCGATGATTGACTTTGCTGTTCATGGACTTCGAATCCTCTGAGTCTATAATTCCTTAATTCTGCAACTTGATTAACATTACCATGCTATTTTAACATAACCTCTCTCAGATCAGAGAACTCTGGAATGAAGATTTTTTTCTTTTCATTAAGTCTGTCTCCATTCTGCAGATAACATAGGTGTAAACATTTAAGACTGTTCTTGATGTTGAAAAGAACAGTATGGTACTGGCTTCTACTCTTATGGGCTCTGTCAGACACTTTAACTCCATTGGGCTGCTTTGACCCTATAACAGAACTGGTATAGATATTGCAGCCATGCAAAAAAGCCCTGAACTCTGCCTGAGAGGGGAACCAGGGTTTAAGGCAAACTGACCCAGGTAAAGAGATTGGCCCTGGAGAAACTGTTGGAAGAGCCCAGCAAAGTGGATATAGGATGCAAGATTCAGATCCAAGCTCATCCCATTCTTCTAGATGGCTTTTGAAGGTGAAGCAGGAGTTAAATATTCATGGAGTGGGAAACTATGGAGCCCTGACTATGTAGCAAGTAATATTCTTGGTGTCTGATATATATTAAGTTATTGATATCTCACGCTCTGTAGGGTGAGTTCTAGTATTATCCCCATTTTTCCAACAATGGGATGGAAGCACAGAGGATTAAATCACTCACTGAAGAATTGACAGATAGTGTTTGATTCATGATTCTAATCAGTCTGATTCTAAAACCCATGGTTTACCTGAGAATCTATGTTGCCATGACTCTCAAATTAAATGGCATGTAGTGTTTGGAAAATCTAACTGTATGTGGCAAGACCCAAGGCTCAAGCGAGAAGTTTACTGCGAGGTAAGCAGAGTATTACGTCCAAGGTGAAGACTGGTTTTAACAGTGATGCTGATATTAGTGGGGCATCCTGGAAAATGGGCAAAGTGCTGTTTACCTCAGAGAGAAACCAGGCAGATCCTAACCAAGCTCTCGTTTAATGTTACGTGGACACTGCCAGGTAGACAGTGACTGCTCCAGTCCTCATAATTCAGACCCCAGTTTTCAGCAGCTATCCATCCTAGGTCATGCTGAGGAAAGAGGCCATCAGAAATGGAGCCAGCAAATAATTCCAGGTGTTCTGGCCCGAGAATTCTAGCATGCATCCTGCTGAAGTTAAAATGGTTCTGGAAAGTTGAGTGGGCCTGATTCGTTCGTGGGGGCTATCAGTGATCTTAAACATGAGGAGCTGGCCCAAAGCCGCAGAAGCAAGCAGTGGGTCTGGAGGCTGGGCTCCTCAGGGCTGGCTGCACCAATGGGGGTCTGCTTTTGGGATGACAGCTTGCAGATATGAGCAATACAGTATGAGCTCCATGCGGACACAGATTCTTGTACATTTCATTCTATTTCTTACCTCTAGTGCCTAGAACTATGGTAAGAACTAACTGGTAAATAACAGACAATAAATATTTGAATACTTTTTTCATTCCCAGGGTGTTTTTCAGAAGGCAAAGCAGTTAATTGATGAAAGAGAAAAGCAAAATCATTATTTTATGTATAAAAGAATGAAGAAAAACATGATTTTTTTGGTAAAATTTGTTTATTTACATATTTATGTATTTCTTTATATTAATAAACAAGGTCGAGATTAGTGGCAAAGAAGTGTCTAAAGATTCCCCAAAAACAATAACCATGATGGATAGCTGATCCTGCTGCTGTCCACACAGAGCAAGACAGGAGCCCTGAGATGTATTAGCAAACACCTTGTTATGGCAGATAATGAATTAAAGATCACAGATGGTAGAGAAGCTCTGAGCAAGCTTTCTGCTTGCTATTTTTTTTTAAAGGTGTGAATAAACACTTTGTTGTCATTTCTAGTGAGATGGCCAACATAGTGTTCATTTTCTGTACTTTCTTTTTTGTAAAGCCCAAGGGCTAGTGACTATTTATTTGTTATTTATGGAGAGGTAAGATTTCCAGCTACTCGCTGAGGATGCTGGGAGTAGTACAGGCTGTCTGCACAAGGCATTAGAGTTAATAAAGACTGTCCTGACTCTCCCTAGAGAAGCACAGTTCTGGATGATAGCCCTTCCCAGGGTGGCCATGGTATGTTTCAGAAACTAAAGCAACAGAGCACCACCTACTCACTTGGAAAACCAGGCCATGTACTCGGTCTGCCTTTCTCTGAAATCTGAACACTTTTTAAAGTAGGTTTGTGGCATGAGGCCACAGAATCAGACTCACACTTTCTGGTTTATACTTTTAGGATTATATGCTGCAGATTTCCTCTCTATCTTCATTCTGTTCAGTGGCTTCTTTCCCAGCTTTGCAAATTGAGGTTGCTGGAAACTCTGGTCATCAGGGAAGATTCTGTTTATTAACAACCACTGATCAAACAAAAAGGTATTAGTAGGCACATAACAAGCATTTACTAACCTAAATTATTGAATAAAATTTAAAACAAATGCACATAGGTGAATCATGTGGACATAAGTGTATGCCAAATGCCATAGTCTTCGGCAGTGATAAGTCTATTTCATTGATGGTCTGTGGTGAGGTTTATGGGCACAGAGACTCGGGTGAATTGCTTCCTCTTGGGTAGAACACTTAAAAGACTTTTAAGCTCTACCGGAATAGGATTAGGTGATCTGAAGTTAAAAATAATAAGTACATTTCATTTTCTAATTTGAAAAAGACACACTAAAAATTCTTGATGTTAGCATCCTGTTTCTTTATCAGGTAATGGGGAAATCTTGTATTTCTGAATTTGAGTTGGTGCTACAAAGGAAATCTATTTGACGATCAGTCATGAACTCCACCCTTGGGTCCTCATCCCCTTGGTCCTATGTTAGGGACTCTGGAGTTCTTGCGTGCATCCTTTCCGATGACTGCAGTGTGGACTGCACCTACTCAAAGACCTAAGGGTGGGACTGAGAGCGAGTACGAAGAGAGCAGGAAAGTGTCTGGTTCACTGCTATATCCCCAGTGCCTTGCACAGTGCCTGGCAAGTAGACACCTAATAAATATTTGTAAAATTAGTGAATAAATGAAAGTGTCTCACATACTTGGTATCTGTTTTTAAAGCTTTGCTCCAAAACTATGTGAACAGAAAAAGATCACAAGGGAGGATGATTTCTCATTCCTTTTTCCTTGAATTTCACCCCAAAGTGACATGCTTCTATCCAAACCAGTATTCAAACGAGGGACATTCTGTATATTCAGTACTATGTGTGCTATTCCCAACCGGGTCTGTGTGGTTTCTTGCTTTACAGGCACCAGGGTACTGAAAAGCTACCTTAGATTCCTTAATTGCTTAAAGGTCAGTGTTTCTGTAGTCAGCCTCTTCACTGAAAGTGGAAGTCTCTTTTGTGACTAGTAAAAATGACTGTGGTTAACTTCAGTTATCCTCTTTCCTCCAACCTGGAACATTGTCAGGTAATGGGGAAATCTTGTTTAGCAAATTTCCTAGCTCTTTTTCCATCTTGTCTGAAGGGCAAAACTGTCTACTGAGGTAGACAATACTGAACTAGAACAAAGGAGCATCTAATACACACCAGCAATCTCTTTGTTGGAACTCTTTAAGTTGGAACTGGACTTCCAGAATAATAAAAGCATTCTCTGAAGGAGATAGCTAGGAATGGCTGAATTATTTATTCTTACTAGAAGAACAAATGGAGAAGATTGTACTGGCTGCCATCATAGGAAAGGGAATCCCAGAGGCTAATGGGGTGATGGGAGTTTGAGTGGCTGTCCTCAGGACCCACTTTCACCCTGCCCCTAATTCTGCTTTCATCACTGCATTTTCCATCTAACTCTTTTACATTCGGGGCTCCCATGTAATATACATTCTTTGAGAAAAAAATCAAGTAAGTAAAGGTTGAGAACTATGACTAAAGAGGCAAGACCATGGATTTGAATAGAGTTCTCCACTCATTAAGAGTCTTCATTTCCTCCTTTGTAAAGTGAGGTAGTGTATTCTACCAGGTTGGTGTGAAAATTAGGTATAGCATCTACATGCTATGTAGGCTGGCCTTCCTTTTCTTCTCCCAAGTTTATGGCTGAAACATCTAATTTTTCTTGAGAATGAAAATGACCTCAGAATCTTTCCAATGCTATGTTCCAAGACATCAGCATTTATATATGAACTGAGGCATATTTACTCTCTCCTCTTTACAGCGGCAAGACTGGAAGCTAGAAGGCTAAGTATCAAAGAGGTGTTTAAATAAAACAACTGTAAGAATTATAGAAAATGGTTGTGTCATGTGACCACAAGCAATTTAGCTTGAGGTAACAGTTAATAAAAATTCTGTCCAATAAGAATTTAGTAATGAGATGACTAGTACTGACTAGCCTTATTCTGTGTGAGGCAATATTCTATTCCCTTGACATGAATTAACTCATTGAATCTTCTCAACAACCCTGAGTAAAAAACAGATCTCAAAGCAGCATTGTATGGATTCTGATGATATTTTAAGATGGCCTTGGTCTATTTCTGAATCCCTTTAAAAATGACAATATAGCTTTTAGCAATTATATATTAATTTTATTTCAGGATATTTCTTTGTTCTGACTTGTGGATAAATTCTTAATAAAGAGCAGACTCATAGTACTAGTGGATTTAACATTTGCTATTTTGGCCCTTTGAAAGTAGTCTTTGCTAGTGATATTGCAAGCCATGTGATGGAAAGCAATTTTTAATTTTGTTGAGTTACCATTTTGAATTCCGGTGTTTTGAGCCTGGTTGGAGGGAGTAACATAGCCAAGGAATGAGCCTGGGAAGCTGCCTAGGACTCCCATTCATTCCAGCACTGTTCTTTGCTTGTCATCAGCAGTATATTTTATGGAAAAACATACACTATTCAAGAATTTGGCCATTCACAAATGTCTTGGTTCATAGCAGTTGTATTGATTATTGAAAATATTGAAACATGTTTGTAGTGGATGTTAAGAAAAGATAATGAAATAATTTACTCTGGTTGGTAAATGGCTACTTCCCCAAGTCACGCCAAGCATGTCTCCTTTTCCCTGTCAGCAACATCCCTTTTCATTTGGGTGTTTGGAGACTTTAGTGTGTGCAATTGTGCATCTCCAGAGAAAAGCTGTACCTATGTGTAAGTAGGTAAAGTGTGCTTGAGTGTGTTTGAGTGTGTGTGTGTAGACCCACATTTCCCAATCTTATCTTAGCAGTTACTCTCTGTATGAAGATAGCTTTCAAACATTGTTGCAAACTCCTATTTTGCAAGTCAAAGTTTGCTATTAATTTATTTTTCTCTTTTACTTATTCTGTGATAAGTCCTAATCTCCCCTCAGCTGCTGGATATCACTAGGGAATTCCAGCAAAGGTTATGTGTTCAAAGAGGCAAATAGAAATATGTATGGATAATTCTCAAATATTATCCTCTACACACTGTATAATTTTTATTCTACTATTAGGGTATTTTATGTTTATTTAAGGTGGAGAGGTTAATAGCTACTATAGGAAATTTTATGTATTTGGGTAAATGTCATAAGATATCTAGATCTGTTTCTTTAAATATAAAATAAAGATAATGATGTTTGAGTTAAGTGCTTACATAAGAAGGTGTCTATATGTGTGAAGTCTGGGATGAGGGAAGATTCTGTATGATAATGCATTTGAAAGTGCTTTATAAAAACACAAAGCATTATTCTAATGTGCAATAAAACAATATATCTTCAGTTGATCATGGCTCTTCCACACTTCAGCTATTGGTTTTCTGACTTTCTAGACTCACCATTAATGTACTATTCTACAAAGATATAAAACTGTTGAAGAGATACAAAAGGGAAAGTTACTGTATTTTCCTTCAATGCAAATAATCATCATACTGAATTACTTGGCCTATAAATATGTGCTTTCTTGCGATAGATTCCCTAAAGGGTGTGCCCATTAACACATACATTTAAAATCTACCGGCCTTTACAAACCAACTTGTGCTACTGATGGACATCAAGGGAGCAATGAAGGAAACATCAGTTAGCTTTTTCTCTGGGCCTAAGGCATCACAGTAGTTGATTTCAAGTCCATCACCATATTATGCCAGTACTGTTCTGCGGCCACCCACCATACAGAAAGCCAGGAAGGCTGATGGAGTGGTGAATGCTAACATAGTTTCCATCCTCTCTCGTCTCCCTTTAGAGAGTGCAACATCCACACGAGTGTCCCTCCTGTGGAGGCTTTGGCTTTCTTCCGTGCTCCGTGTGCCACGGGAGCAAGATGTCAGTGTTTCGAAACTGCTTTACAGACTCTTTCAAAGCCCTGAGGTGTACTGCTTGCAACGAGAATGGTCTTCAGCGCTGTAAGAGCTGTTCTGGTTAGACGGGGCTTGAAAACCCGAGAAGCGCCTTGTTTTATTGACTGAAGGCAATTATCTGGTTTATATTTTTTTAAAGGCAATGTTTATGGGCTAATCAATAAACTTTGTTTATTATAATCACCTTTGTTTGGAATTTTTGCTGTGACCGGTTCACTGATTTGCATTAAATAAAAGTTTGTTTAATAACTATAAGCCCTGTGCTAAATCCTGGTTTCCAGTTGGAATTAATGGAGTACCCAGTACCATTCCAAGATATCCAAAGTCTGATTCCTTAAATGTGTTTGATTTTTCTGAAGAAAAGACAAACTATATCTAACAATGCCTATTACAATGTCACCCTATTGTCTACAGTGAATTAGTTCAACTCTAGATGCATAACGCATTTCTGTGTGCCTCAGCTGCAGGAAAGAGAGCTCTGAACAGTGGCAAGGAACACGATCATATTTTTACTTAGTAGAATATTTTTAAGAGCTGTAAAATGGTCCTGGAGCTGATAATATTAATGACAAATTGTTAATGTTATTAGATGAATTTCTTGGTGATGATACCAGCTGTCAGAAGACTTAACAGGATTCATTTTTTTGAACATCTGATTTGTGCTATTACTTCTGAAGGCCCTCCAGAAAGGTGCTACTGAATGATTCACAATATCTATGGTAAGGATACTAAAAACTTTAATAGCTTGGTTTCCTAAAAAGCTGTAAATGCTTACCGAGTACGTCTAACCAGCCCTGCACAGTATAAGGTATGGTTCCTGCTCTTACGGGGCTAACACTCTGAGAAGGAAGGAAATATTAAATAAATAACTGTAAGCAGGACAAGTCCCACAATTCTACATGAATGGTACCGAGTACTATGGGAATGCAGAGCAGGAGGACTGACCAGATGAGTTAGAAATGGTAGGAAAAGACTTCGTTGAACAGTTGATGTTTAAGCTGAGACATAAAAGTAATTGGAAACTAGTTAATCTTGGGGCAAGAGGGATAAAGGAATAGCATATGTGGAGACCCTGAGGACGGAGAGAAGTTGTATGTTTGAGGAACCATTAGAAAGCCAATCGGAGGAGTTACAGTGTGGTAATAGTGGAACAGTTTATAGCAGACTAAGTCTCCTGCTAATAACACATTTATTTTGAATAAAATAATGAAAAATCAACAACTACTGAAGGCATTGGAAAGCAACTAAAAATAGAAAGGAACAAGAAGGGATTTGATCACTAGGAAAAGGGAAACAAACAAAATGAATCCTACGTTTATCTAGCTTGTCATCTGAGAACACTTCCCAGTTTGTACTGAATAAACTCATAAAGAAAGTGCAAATGTACTGGCTTGAAGAAATAAAGTTGGAATTTGGGACCACAAAGTATCTGAAATTGAAGGGGAAATTTCAAGAAATGAGAGGACCAAAAGAAGGGAGCCACTAAATTTCTTTAATGCCACTCAAATCCTTGGTTAATTCCTAACCTACACATGCAGAGTAGTATTCTAGGACCAAATCGAATGTGGAGGGCTTTTCTCCACACCACCGAAATTTTCTGACACCAGCTGGGTACCCCACAACTGAACTCAGTTCTGACACCATCTCTTTGGAGATAGTGTCAAATCCCAGAGACTGAAAGCTCAGCCTTACAAGACTACCCTCCTACCACCACTTCAGATGCCTATAGAAAGGCTAGGTTGTGCTTCTAACCAACTGGCTATGAAAGGGAAGTTCTAACGTCCCCCACCTTATGATTGATTAGTTTGCCAGAGCAACTCACAGAACTGAGAAAGACATTTTACTTACTGGATTACTGTTTATTATAAAAAGCTATAAACTCAGAAATAGCAAGATGGAGGAGATACATAGAGCTAATCATGGGGAAAGGGTGAGGAGTTTCCACACCTTCTCCCAGAGCGCCACTCTCCCTGCTTCTCTCATGTTCATCAGCCCAGAGCGCTTTGGAATTCTAAGGGTTTTAGGAGCTCTGGGCCAGGGAAGGGGACAAAGACCAAATACATAGTTCTTATTACAAACCATGATATCACACAGAGGAAAGAGGTGGTGAAGAGACCAGAGGAGTTGAGCAGAGATGTCAGCAGCTGCCTGTGTGGCAAAATCAGTGTTTGGAATTCAAGTGATAAATGCAGCTGTTTCTTTGAAACCTCAGAAGGGCCCCATCTTTAGAGTAAAGCCAAAGCCAAGAAGGAAGGGCTATGTTGTAGAGCTAAGGGAAAAACAAAATCTTAAGACTAAAACCAAACTTCCATGTTATCATGGTATCTTTCAGTATTTGACAGCTTGCTAAAATAAAATTCAACACTTGAACTAGTAATATGAAAGAGCTCAAGTGGATATGGACACCTACAGGTAACATCATACTTAAAGGTAAAATTAATATTTTCCCCTTAAGGTCAGAAAAAGTGCATGAATGTTCACTTCCATTATTTATATTCAACATATATATGAGGGAGGTCCTATCTGGTGACATAGGCAAGAAAAAAGTCATAAAGATTAGAAAAACATGAAATTCATTATTTGTCAACAATATGATTGGAATGTAGAAAATGCAAAGAAATCTACAAGCTATTGAACTTCAAAGTGAAGTCCACAAAACTTTTGGATTCAAGGTCATTATACAAAAATTAGTAGTATAATATACAAGCATCTAAGTCCTAGAACATATAATCAAGATAATACAATGTATAATACTATCGAAAAACATCAAGTATGTGAATCATGATGCAAAAGATTGATATAACTTCTACATTTTAAACTACATTGCAGATTTTGCCGAGAAATTATAGAAGACCCAAATACATGAAAGAATATGTCATTTTTGAGTTGAAAGACAACATTTTAAAGATGTCAGTAGTTTCAATGCAATATCAATTAAAATCCCCCCAGAACTTCTGCAGATTTTGACCAATAATTTAAATTTATGTGAAAATGCAAGCAATCTAGAGAATCCAGGAAAGTTTTGAACAAGTAGAATGAAATAAAGATTAACAAATAGACCAACTGAATATTGAAAACAGAACTAGATTCAAACAGTAAAGCAATTGATTTTCAAAAAAGGTGCCGATTCAAGGCAATGGGGAATGGAAAATATTTTTTTAACAAAAAATGCTAAAACTACTAGATTGACCTATGGGAAAAATTATCTTTAAAACTACTACTACTGCTGCTACTAGCATCTGGTGGCTAGAGGCCAGAGACACTGCTAACCTTCCTACAAAACCCAGGACAACCCCATCCCCCAAAAGGCTTATCCAGTCCAAAATGCTAATAATGTCAAGACTGAGAAACTGTAATTTAAATGTTGAAGCTAAACCAGGAGAATATCTTCACAACCTTGGAGGTTGGCAAGATTTAATGAATAAGTCACAATACACCTAAGTATAAAAAATGATAAATTGGACTTAGTTAAATTAAAAATCTCCTTAAAAGACACTATTTAAAAAAGTGAAGAGGGGAGCCACAACTGGGAGAAAATATTAACAGTATAAGTACCTGCCAAAGAACTTGCAGTTAGGATGTGTAAGGAACTCGGGAATATCAATAATAAAGACAACCAAATAAAGAAGAGAGCACTTCCCAAAAGAAGACATGTGGATGGCCAAAAACGAAGGACAAATGTACATATTAGTCATAAGAGGAATGCAAATTTAAATCACAATGCAATGTTATTATGTCATGTTCAGTATGGCTACAATTTAAAAAGACTGACAGTGTGAAATGTTATGGATGTGGAACAGTTGGAACTCTCATACACTGCTAGTGAGAATGTGAAATGGTACAACCACTAGGAAAACAATAGTTTTCTATTAGAAAATGTTCAACAGTTTCTAATAAAGGTAAACATACATTATGCTCAATAAAAGGTAAACATACATCGTATGCTCCACAGTTTTACTCCTAGTGACTTATTTTAGAGAAACAAAAACCCTCTGTTCATATTGTACAAGTTTCATGGAAGCTATATTCACAGTAGACAAAAATAAAGTGGTCTCAGATGCCCACTGACAGGAGAGTTGATAAGCAAAGTGTGGCATATTAATATATGGGCACACTAGCTGGTTGGAAATAAAAAGGAACAAGTTATTGATTTTAGCAATAACATGGGTGAATCTCAAAAACACATGAATTAACTAACGCAGTCATGAAGAATATGTGCTATATGATTCCATTTATAGAATAGGCCAAAATTAATCTATAGAATAGTTTCCTTACAGGGGGCAGGGAGCAGGTGGAGGAATGAAATATCACCAGAACTAAGACAATGGTACAAGTCATAGTTGAGGGTAGATTTCCATTCTGTCAAGAAAGAGGGGAAGAATTTCTTGCGCCAATGAACAGATTCTCATCAGCATTCCAACATGGCTCTGAGATTCTATTAAGTAAGAGAGCCTATCAAGAAATTCCTGACTACTCAGGCACTGGTTATGTTCCTGCAAATCCAGCTATGGCCCTGATGTCCCCCTTGTCCAGGGTATAAACAGGATGGAGAATTAGCACAGTACAAGGGATTTTAATTTTCAGTCCCCATCATAGACTACAGGCTTGGAGGATAAAAGCTCTAAATTGTATTCAGGAGGAATTTGGTTTTGATTCTTTTATTCTTTTTTCCTTGATTGGCATGGAATTAAAATGTTATGTTTTCTGCTGATTATTTGTGAGCCTCTAAAGAAGAACATTATGGAAGAGTCATGAAATTAAAAAAATATATATCACACATCTCAAAGAATTGAAGATGTTAATGAGAGTAATAGGCTCATAAAATAAGCTCATAATAGGCTTATTTAAACATAAATTTATGTTAACTTTCTGAGAGAACTTTGTTCAGATGCTTCACATCTATCTGTTTCAGTTTTATAAAATGTAAATGGTAATTATTCCTTCTATATTTATCCCACTTTGCTGTTGCACAGGATTAATTAGAATATATAGGAAAGTGCTTAAAAACACAAAGCACTATACAGAGGCATTAAATAATTTCATAATTAACACAAAAGCTTTGCATCAATGATATATCTTTTATTGGCCAAATAAGGAAATGAACTAAGTTATTGG